TCTGTGGGAGATGTAAGATGGCCTGCCCGCAACTACGTTCCAACTTGATACCTTCAGGGCTCAAAATAAACCGTTTGATCAACTTTACAAAACCGCCAAAATCCTACTCAATTTGAGAAAAGGCAAAATGTCTAAAAAATTTAACAAACTGTGCGATTTTTCCAGCGAATTTCGTGTGAATTACTAACTTTCCACAAATTGATTGATGATTCCTTTCAACTCTGACCTATAAGCAACTGAAGGTTATGAAAAAGAAGCCCACCTGTTTTTCCTCTTATCCTGTTTCCGGGTTTCGAGCGTGGTTGCGGAGGAATTTGTGCCACTTTTAGATGTTTTTTTTTTCGGGTAATAAACCGACATTTTTCCTGTTTCAGGTGCCTGTTTCCGCGATACCAACCAAAAAAAATTCGAGTCGACGGAATGCGTGGGGTAATTTGTCCTATGCGGACTTAATTACTCAGGCCATCACAACATCGCCGGATAAACGATTGACTTTGTCGCAAATCTACGAGTGGATGGTGCAAAATGTGCCCTATTTTAAAGACAAAGGTGACAGCAACAGTTCGGCAGGATGGAAGGTAAGCAAGCAATCGGCATCTTCCCAATTAATCAAGCGTTAAATCGTTCGGATCAATCACAGAAATCGGTTTCCAACAGAAAAAGCCCATTTCCATTCCAGTCGCTTAACAAGCTATTTACAGAGATAACTCTTACTAATGGCCCATTAAAACACTGAACCAGCAGCTTAAAAAAGATCGAATTTCACTTGTGATTATCTTTGTTTGTGTCTCTATTGATGTTTACACTCGGTAGTCGTTGCGTTAGGTCAGGGCTAAAAAGCCGCTTTGTTTCCAACCTGTTCCATTGTAGTAAAATCGGTTGTAAGACAAGAGTGCGCTTATAAAGGCACGTGCCATTAACACGTGAGCCTTTTTCGATGAACCGAACCACCATCAAAGGCCTTTGGAAAATGTTCACCTGATTTATTGGGTCATTTGCTTGGAATCTTTCCTCAAATTAGTTGCACTTTCACTTTGCTATTCTTGTTGAAGACAGAAGAACAGAAGCCCGATTGCAAATTTATGTCACTTTTCACGGGGTTCTTCACTTCCTTATTGGTCTAAATAGGATTTTGTAGTTTTTTTAACTTGCCACTTCGATGGTACAGTTTCATATCTAAATCTTGCTTTATGCCCTCAAAAGCCCCAATCGAACAAACACTTTTAAGTCGGAGAATCTGAGTGAAAAACACGTTTTGATTGGCTGGATAAAAGGCAAATTGGAAGTGGAAAAACAAGCCTGCCCCATCGAAGCACATTTTCAAAGGTTTTATATGTGCGGTGTGCCGCTTTTGACTTTCAGTAAATCCTACTGAAATTGCCTAAAAACTTTCTTTTCAGCAAATTACGCGAACGTTTTTTCCGTACTGTTTACATTGGCCCAACGTATAAATGGAAAATTAAAAGGGCAACTTTATTTATATTCGAAATTCATATCTTTTACCTTGAAAGTCTACCTACCACCAACAACTACTGCGGATTTGGGTTACAAAAAAACATTGGTTTTTCACCGTGTTTGTTTCTCGAATTTGTCAGATAGAAATTTTTTTCAATTATCCACGGGAATCGCGTAGCCACAGCAGCAGCATCCGATACTCGATTTTATGCAGTGAATAACAAGAATTTGCAGTGGCTGCTTAAGATTTTACAATTAAAATGTTGATGTTTACCTACGTAGAAGTTGCCTACGCAGCTAATAATAAATGTCGCCTTGCAAAGGGTCAAATACCGTTGCGATCAAACCTGCGAAGGTTAACCGAAGCGTTTTCTGCCACTTTTACAACTCCCTGTTATGGACAGGGTGTTAATTCTTCATTCCTAGAAGCAAGTTTGCATCATCGAAACACTTCAATAAATAAAGGTGTTTTAATGGAACGCCCGGTATGTTGCCCATTGTGTTGTTTCGCTCTCGAAACAAACAAAAAAAACACTTTGTGGCGCGGAAAATTGAATTATTTTGAGCCGCAAACATATCAATTTCGAACAAAGCAACGCGCCCACCATTTTCCATCCCTCTCCGCCTTCTATGGGGGCGAGTGAGAGCACCGATGCCAGCTGCGTTCTTGAATGGAATTATTTGATTCATTTCAGCCTTTGAAAGTCGTTTCTAACAAATTAGTTGTGTACACCTTGTCATTAATTAAAATGCAGAAAAAGTATTTTTCAAACGATTTAATTTTGCTATAGAGAGCAGTAGGTTTAATTTACCATAAATTATTGTCATGTTTTCGGAACCAGTTACTAGCGCTGAGTGTTTTATGAATTATTTTCACTGTTGAATCATTCGTTTGTTAGTTTCATCCTCAATTCAAAGCCTTTTAGCGTCTGGAGTTTGTGATTCTTTTAGAATTTCTTCATAAATTTGCTCATTGGTTTCAAACAAACAAACAAGGCAACTTTAAAGCGTTAATTCCACGCAGAAAGGCAAAAAACATTTTCCTTCCCATTCTGAATTCTTCAACTCCTCTTCAATAGGCGAGGGTTTTGATAGACGCGACAAAATATCGATGGAGAGCGATTTTTCGATGAAAACCCGCATTAATTAGCTTAGAATCTAAAAGAGGCTCATAAATGCGGTCCAGCTGCGATTAAGCAAAACGAAAATGGTGGCCTCAATACCAGCTTCCTAATTTTAACCTGCTAGCCGGTCGACGAACAGAAATATTACGCATTCCTTGGGAGACGGGGACTGTGACTTTAGGCACCTCACTATGGAGGACGGAAACTATCGAAAACTGTTGCGATTATCGATAGCATTCTGTGGAGTTAAACGCCCTCAAAGGACAGGAAGCGTTCTTGAAGTTACTGGGCAAAGAAGTGCGCATAAAAAACTCGGCAGGAGGTTCATGCAGACAAACTTTACTCATTTACTCACACACACACATTAGAGTAAACCCCTTCGAATCTAGTTCGATCCTCCGGCACTGCACCATCATATCGATAGCGTTCATCTCCCTATCTGGTTGTTTAAATAGGAGAATAATAAAATCGGTTAAACGGCTAACTTAGATAACGCACAGCCTTGGGGCTGAGTGAGTAGAGAAGAAAGTAACAATAAAATAATCAAAATTTTTAATGGCGACTGCTATTTGTGTTGCGGCTTAGGCTTTATTAGCCATGTAGACTGTTGTAGGCGAATCTGGCTGGTTACCTAACGCGCAAATTGTGGAAGCGTGTGCGCAAACAACAAATTAATTTGCGACTTGGAATTTGAATAATGTGCGAATAAACTATTCGGTTAGTTCCATTCAATTGGCCCACCCAGTAATACCAAAATACACCCGAAATTTCGATTTGGCGTTGAAACCCCGTCCACCACTAGCAGGCAGTTAAATTGGTGAAACATATCGGCTTAAGGTTGAATTTCGACATCAAGTACACGTTGCGTAAGCGTTCTTGTTCCACGTGCTTAGGGAAGTCAAGGATAAGCAAGCAGTAGTGGGCTCGTCTATGCGTACCAAGCATTAATTGCCGGCCGTCGAATTTGGTTAAGTAAAAGAGGAATATCTGATTCCGTATAGAGAAGGCTTGCTCGATTAGCCGCTCACTCACCGAAGGAGGCACGAACTTACGCACTTGTTTATTTTTATCACGTAAAATTCGAAAATATTTACAAAATCCTACATGTTCCGAGAAAACAAACACAATGTTACGTATCAGGATTTTTGACTACTCATTTTACTACTACCGGAATGGCCAATGGTTGACTGGTTTCTCGGAAGCGTTGTTGTCGATAGACCAAGATTTGCCAAATTTAATCGGTTATTAGAGATCCTTACACACACCCGACACCGGTTGGGTGTATTTGCGTACATTGTGAGTTCGGTGCGACAACAAACACGATCATTATTTGCATAGTTGACATTTCCTAGGCCGTTTTAAAATAAAAACAGCGCTAAAGCCAACGATGTTTTGTTCCCCCCCAAATTTACCTTGAGTTCTAATGCTCCCTGATACCTGCCAGTGGCATAACCCAATTAATAATATTTAATTTTCAGCTCATTTCTACAGTTTTTATTCAATTTTTCCTAGATTCGTCAATTGCAATTATATTTCAAAACAGTCCTAAAGTGGAAAATTCTTTGCTACGCTCAAAAGTGAACTAAATGATAAATTAAAGTAAATTAAGTGAGTTGTAAAGGTATCAGTTTCGAACACACCAACGCGCCGTCACCGCGCACCCCCCATAGACACCTATAGGTGCGAGCGAGACAACCGATGCCAGCTGTGTTCTTGAATGGACTTCATCACTGTGTGAACACCCGAAACTAACCCGTTTTGGAAAAATTGCTGTGAGTGCTGGAGAACTGTCGCAATCACATTTCTTCGCAATTCATAATTGTTCATAATGCAGAAGGTTTCATTACTCTTTCCAACGATTTATTTAAAAACCCCGTCATGGTCGGCAATAAAATGTATGGTATTTCTTCATTCACTCTCTATTGAAGGCGGCATGTAAATCAAGCGTTTTATTTGTTAGCCCAATACAATCAGGACAAAAAAGTAATTCAGCAAAACCGAGCGAAATTATTAAAAATTAGCAACTTGAACAAATTACCCGAAATTTATTCTCCCATCTGTTTGGCATGGGGCAGCGCTACCTATACCTCGATTTTTTTTGTAAATATTAGTATTATAAGTTTAGATACATGACCAGACTGAGAGAACACGTCAATTTCCACAGGATCCATTTAAAAATAGAAAATTATGGGCGTTGTCGCGTCCATACAGCGAAAATTCCAACAGGCGATTTTTGCTTTGCCGAGGTCGAATTATTGTGACTTGCCGCCGTGTTGCGGAAAGTTTCGAACTTTATCGCATTCTACACATGCGATATTAGTTGGGACTAAGCGACAATTGCTTAACATGAGAACCAGCTGATTCCCATTGCTCTTTGCACAGCGCATAAGAACCACTTGAATTCACCGTGTTTAGATTGAAACGTTTTTGGCCGGACTTTTCCGCTGCCGAACCGGTTGCAAAGTGCGCGAATCAAGCGGAATCCATAAATCTAAATATCGATATTAATAGGCCAGCTTTGCGCGTCCGAAAGTAAATAAATATTCCGGTCTAAAGCAAACTTTCGCATCGGGAGGTCAGGATGCGCCCGAAAATAAAAACGAAAGTTTAAAGTTAGTTTTTGCAAATTCCAATACGCCGAAGTTCTGCAATGATTGCTAATGCCGCAAAATCAACTCTAAATAAACAAGTATTTTTCCCTTTCCAACCTCTGAACCAATATGAGTAAATGAAAACAATTCAAGACTCAATTGGCAGCCTTAATATTTGAATTGTTGACGAAATTGGTGTTTGTTTTCCCGAACGAGATGCGCCAATAATTTATTGTATTAAATACATTATAAATTATTTAAATTCATCGTTACGACATACATACTCAATTCCAGCATAATTAAGCAATCTAACTGCGGTCTGTCAGTAAACAACTGTGGCATCAAAGATATTGAGAACAAAGTTTATCAAATAGTAAATATTCGATTAAAAACATAACTTGCTTTGAT